CTCATTTTTACGGCTGTGACTCACCATTGCCCTATCTTCACCAGAGATGATGACAGCCAAGAATCTTAAGAATAAATGAGTAAAATTCGTATTTCACGTTTCCCTGTTTTTGACAAAAACGTGCCATGCACACGCAAGCTCCTAGCCCAGTCCGTGCCTCTGACGGTGGCGACAGCAGAAGCGCCGCACTACTGCGGGCAGCGGCCGCGCACACGGCGACAATCTCCTGGCTGTCCCCAGGCCCGGCGCGGGGGCACGGGGCCCTCCGAGCCTGCAGGGCTCCCCCGGGTTTCCTGCTGGCACCCGGCCCGCCGTGAACACCCCAGGGTTCCCCACACCACCCACCGCGGTGCCCGCGGGGCTGTTTGGGCCAAGCCCGGGTCCCAGCAGAACAAGGGGTGAGGTTTAGTTACCACCAGATCCAGCGCAGCCCCGGGGGGGCGGGGAGCCTTCCGGAACCTTCCCCAGGCCGCGCCCGCCTCGCCTCAGCGCCGGGGGAAGGGGCTCCGCACCAAGAACCCGCCTACCGACACCTCCACGTGCCGGCGGGCAGAGCGTCTCCCCCAGCCCTTCCCAATGAAGGCACCGGGGATGTGCACATGCTCCTCGGCCGGCTCCCCGCGCCCCCGCGCCCCGGCCGGTGCAGCGAGCGGCCGGGGCAGCTGAGACGGGGCGCGGGCGCTGCCGCCCAGCCCCGGGGCTGGCGGGGCACGCCGGGCTTGCGCTGCGCTGCGTGGCGATGTCTCGCTCTTCTGCCTTTGTAACATTTGTCATCCGCTCTGTCACCCCCCCGCAAGGACCCTTTGCTAACGGGGTGACGGGAGACAGCGTGTGTCTGATTTGCACTGGAGCTGCAGCACTCACATCCAGGATCTGCCCGGCAAGAGCTCAGGGTAGCGCTGGTCACAGGCTTAATGCTTATAGGTTGCAACTTATCTCCAAATCCAAGAAACTGCTTAACTTTCAAACCATTCATCCCGTAGAGAAAAACCCAACTACTAGAAAAAACAATCTGTAAACAGAAAAACAGTTTGTAAATAGGAAACATAATTTGTAAAGAAATCAAGTCCTTATATGAACTGACGGTTCAAGAGTCCTGGATTTTTCTATGGGATTGGTCCTTGTGATGTTTGTTGAGGGGACGTCAGGATAAGCAGACATATCCAGCATGTTCCAGTGTCCATTGGAACATATTTCTCATGTTTAGCCAGCTGAACATCATAGGATTATTGTGCTGTTATATGACTGGCTGGAAGACATGAGAACATGATATTACTTAAGACTTAAAAGGGGGGGGGGGGGTGCACATTCACCCCAACCTTTTTCACCTTTTTTTTCTTTGCATTAATATCTAAAAATAGGAACAAAACATGGACTTTGAACAGTGTTAATAAGGTAGGGTGTTGCTGAGGGGATATATTTTTTTACTATGAGGACTTGAAGGAACCTCTTCAGGATGAGGCTTTCTTGTTTATCTCAAAGGAAAAAGGGTTTAACTTTTGTAAAGTTCGTATACTAATATACATTTCTTATAGGTTTCTGTATTTTATATTTTTTTTTTAAAAAGGCTTGTATTAATACCTTGTGCAAAACAAGTTTTTAACACAATTTAGGAATTATTAAAGAAATACAGATATTTAAATTTTCTAGTTAATATGGTAACAGTGCAAGCAATATTAACAGATTACTTTTATGTTTGGGGTTTTTTTTTAATGATGACAGGTGACAAATTCTCAGTTAAAAATAATTTTGCACCTGAAATTTGCTTATGATATTTCTAAATTAATGTTCTATGTATGCTTTAGAGGATCTAGAATGTGAGGATGATTGTATTCTTCAAATCTTCCAGGCTGATCTGGATATATCACAAGTAGAAACACAATGAGAAAACTTACTAATATAAATTCTAGGGTCTCTTTAATGCACAGTTGCCCATGTCTGAGACAGAAGCGTAATATTTTCTTAGTAACTGTCACATACTGTTATCAGAGGCTTATTAATTTTTGTTTTAGCTAGCATAAACAACAATAAATATTGTACTGTGACTTCTAGGACATACTTCTGAGACTGTTACACAATTTTGTAATTCTTGTGTGACACTCCTACAATATTTTTACCCTTAGTACATTTTATTAGTTTATTAGAGTCTGTGGAATATGAGAACCTTTCAGAGGGCAGGGTGGCTGTGAAGTTTTGTTGAGGTTTGAGGGATAGAAACTTGGTCTTTGCTTTTTCACTGTCCATATGCAGGGATGTGTGCTGGTTTCCTGCTGGACTTTGTGAGAGAGTGGCCCACTCTTAGCTGCTGTGGAACGGCTGTGCCATCTTTTTGGGATGGCTTGGTTGCTGTTATTCCCACGGCACCACACCCCTGCACTTTTCTTTCTACTGCTTTTTGCTGGGTGGGCCCCCGCAGGGGCTTTTCCCAGGCTCTGCTTCTGGGTTTGGTGTCTGCAGCTTTTCTCAGGGGCCAGGGATGGCAGCTCTCCCTGTGGCTCACCAAGCATGCCCCCTCCTTTCCTGGGGGAGCCCTGGAGGCTCTGAGTCCTCCCTATTGCACAGCCTGACCACAGGTTCTTGCATGGTCCACAGGTCCTTCAGATGTCCTTGTCCTTGTCCTCCAGCCAGGGCCTTGGTGGCTCTGGAAGGGAAGGCATCAGCAGGCCCAAGCTTCCCTCCTGGCCTTTCCTGAGCACTGTTTCCCTTGCTTTGCCTGGCAGTGCTCAGGAGTGGGGCAGAAACAAGCCCTGTGGCCAAGGTGAGCAAGGAGGACTCTGCCCCTGGCACACCTGTGCTGGCCCATCCCAGGGCATGCCATTATTCCCTGCTCAGCCCAGCCCTCCAGGAGCCTGGCTGACAGCCCACTGCTTGCTCTGCAGGCAAGGAGGTGCAAACGAGGTGTTCCTTACCTGCTCACACCTTGGAGAGGGGAGAGAGGTTTCAATATGAACTCTCTACTTGGCTTTTTCACACTGATTTGGGAATGTGCACAGCATGTCAGACAATAAATAGATGTTAGACTTCATATTGATTTTTTTTTTTTTTGCCTGAACAAGAGTTTTATTTAAATGCCTAGTGAAAAAATATCAAATTTATTTCAGTGGGTTCTGGACCAAGTCCTAGCATATCAAGCACTTGCACATAATACACTGTGTTTATTTATCTGTTTCAGATGTTGAGCTTGACATATAAATATGATATATACTGATTTTGAAAAGAGGTGGCTTCCTTCAGCTTGTGACAAATTCTGTTTGGAAACAATGCATAGCCTCCAAGGGGAAACTTGAAGAATAGAAGGCAAGCACCCCTGTACAGTCTGAGAGAGTAAGCTATGAGAGAGTAAGTCTGAGAGAGTATGCAGCACCAGAGCAAAGAGTACCAAATAGATATGCTTGTGGGCCTGCAAGGCACCAGCCAAAGTCTGCACATGCCTCAGAAAAATATGAGTTTTTAGTGTTATAAGTGAAAATTGATCCAGCCAAATTAAAAATAAAAATGAAAAAAATTATTTTTCAATCAAATTCTATCTAGCCAGCTACAAGGAAAGAACAGTGCTGAGGCTGGGATCAGCGCTGGGTGTGCAACAAAGAAGTCAGCCTCAGCAGAGGTTTTCCTCTATGCCTACACACCTCCATCCTGGCACGAGTGGTTTTTATAGGGAAAATTCCGCCTGAGGCCAGGATTTCGGCAATCAGTCCTTTCTTCTATTCAGAGTCCCATAGTTTGATGAGATTTCTTTTTTTGGCAATGTCCGGAGTTGGTGAATCCCTTAAGGAAACCCTGCATTCACATGTATCTGTCTGGAGGATTTCCATTATATCCCTCTCGGGTCATTCATGCGATGATCAGTGCCTGGGCGTCCATCCTCAGGCGAGCCACATCCCTTTACTTGTAAATCGGGTTTCAACATACACCAGGTTTCCCCTGTGAGGGTCAGGGGGGACTCCTAATACAAACATATATACTGCAACAAATATTCAATATCACATATATCATACTAGAAATTATATCTACTACACATAACAGTAGTGTTTCCTACAAGCAGCTGTGCCCTGCCAGCATGATTCTACAGCACAGTGAAGGCACTGGGATGCGTCAGCTGTGCCAGATGGGAGCTCTGTGGATGTGAGGTGCCCTGCACTGCTCATCAGTGTGCCAGCACATCCTCCTGTGCCTCTGTTGTCAGGGTTCTTCCACCACGCTGGGCACCCGAGCACCTGAGGTGCTCAGTTCAGCTACAAGCTGGCAGTGTCCTTGTTCTTGTAATGTGTGGCTCTTACTAGCACGTGGCACAAAAGACTGAGTGGACTGCCTGCACTCCTTGAGCAAGATCTTTGAGGCCTTACAGCAACCTTGAAGGGCACTAAGTAAAGCAGATGCTTTACGTACTTTAGAGGGAAGCTCTATCTAGTGAACAAGAATTAACCTAATATCATTATTTCTATGCACCTTCCATAATTGAACAGATGTATTACATTCAAATATCTTCCTTTTTAAATGATTCCACTTATTGCAGTCCTTAGCTGGTGCCTGCTCCTCATTGATTTTAGAGTCACTAACTAGATGCTTCATGGTCGCCAGCTGTGTGAGGAAGAGGGGGGAATTACGTCTCTCAGTGGTAAACGCTTGGGTCTGTCAGGTTTCCATAATTGTAAGTCCAGCTTCCTGTGCTTGGGCACAACATTTCAGAATGACTCAGTAGCTTACAAGAGCGTGGACTGGGCTAAGGGCTGCCAGGGGCACGGTGCATTCACCACCCCTGGCGGTGTTCAAGGTACGACTGTGTATGCCAGTTATCTCTCAGCGTGGGCTCGATCTCAGAGGAAGGTCTTTTCCAACCGAATTGTTCTGTCTGAAAGTATACAAGGAGCTTGCATATCAAAGAACATCCTGCCTTAATGTTGAGACATTCCACGTTTTCCACGGCGCGCGCCCGCAGCGCTGCGGGGCCGGCCCGCGGGGTCCTCCGCGCCGCCAGGGGGCGCGCCGCGCGCGGGGCGGGCTGCGGCGAGCGCGGCCATGGCGGTGCTGCTGGAGACCACGGTGGGCGACCTGGTCATCGACCTGTACACGGAGGAGCGGCCCCGCGGTACGAGCCGGGCCCGCCGGCACCGGGCTGGCCCCTGGCCCCCCGGGCTGGCCCCTGGCCCCCCGGGCTGGCCCCTGATCCCCCGGGCTCGCCCCTGACCCCCCGGCACCGGCCCGCCCCGCACCGTCTTTCCCCTCGCTCGGGCCGGGGCCAGGGGATGCAGGCAGCGCTTGCGGCCACAGGTGTAATATCGCTAAATCCAGGGGCCGCCGTGGGCTTCTTTATCAAGTGTTTGCAAAGAAACGGAGGGGGGGGGGTGTTTCTGTATAACGGGCCGTGTTTAGGGTTCTTCGAATCGCTAGAAAAGATTTGTAGGAAGGGATGAAATGTTACGTGTCCTCCGAGCATTTCTCTTAGCGCTTAGAGGCTGTACCCTGAGAGGTCTCGACGCAGTCTGTTCCAGAATCACTTTTCTGCGCGTTAGACTACGACTCTGTTATATCTGTTATTACTGTAACTGGAATTTCCTTTGTAAATGTTGGTATGATTTCTTGCAGCTTGTCTGAATTTCCTGAAGCTCTGCAAAGTCAAGTATTACAACTATTGTCTTATTTATAATGTACAGGTGAGTATTCTCAGTTCCTTGTTTTTCAGTTGGTTTAAAATCGCAAACATGAAAGCAATACCGTATGTATTCTCTTTTGTGACAGAGGGATTTTATTATACAAACTGGTGACCCCATGGGAACTGGTCGTGGAGGAGAATCCATATTTTGGTAAGTGTTTATGTATAAAAATGATACATACCTATGTATATATCTATATATGTATCTCAACAGAGAATTTGTGTAAGGGAGTAGGCGTTCCAGTTAGATTGTCTTCAGCTTTCTTGGGGCAGAATTGCAGGTGAGAAATAAAAATGTTGATGAATAAGCTTCTTTGGTTTTCATACTTAGATACCTTTTTAATGTCTATGCTGCCTTTGGCCATTCACTATATTTTGCCTGGACATGATTCTGTCTCTGACCTTAGAAGTTAAGTTATAGGTAACAGCTTGTACATACATTTTTGTCTGTTTAAAAGCTGGTAAATAACTATATGTTTGGTAAGAAAAGTATAATGACTAAATGCTCTGTAGAAGACAGAATCTATTAGCATTGTGAAGAAATTTATTATTCAGTGCTATATATATCTAGGTTTATTTGAAGGCCTGATGTAAATGTGAAATGTAAAAAAATTGTGAGATTCGTTTAGAGTTTTACAATGTTTGGTTTCCTCACTTTTAAAAATTCCTTTTTCTAGTAACATATTTGTTATATGTGTGCTAAGCAGATGCAAGTCTGGGTAGGTAAACTCGCCAGACTTGCCTATCTCTGCACACAAGTAAATTAAGTTTATTTTGATACGGTACAAGTCTTCTAAGACTTTCTGGTATGGCAAATTGTGAAGTACAGTGTGATGAGAGAGTGGCAGATCCTGTCTGGCAGTAGCATGGAGAAGGTCAGTTCATCTTTTGTACCTGTTTGTTTCTGCTGCAGTCCATGAAACTGGAGTTTCTGTTCTTCCAGGCAAAGTTTAATTTTAATCGTCTATTCATAGAGGCTAGCTCCTGCTTAGCAGAATGAGTTTAAACATAGTACTATCCTTACATTTGGGCAAATATGGTTATTGATCATGCATCCATCAGTTTATGGAGTGAGACAAAATAAGTGATAGCAGGGTTAGACATAAAAAAATTTAAAAGAATGCAACGATTTGCTATATCCTGCATATACTAAATTACTGTATGTAGTCCTGTCTGTATGATGAACTGATTTTGCACATAGATGTACTGCTTTTCTGTTTTTCTTGGGAGATAAATCTTTGATGTAAATAACTGCATTTTTACGGTGTGGAATAACTTACTTTCGTAGAATCTACTTAAAATGTGTAGCTCCTTCATGCCTCAGAAAAATGTTTCATACTGTACTTAAAAATATATAAGTGTACCCTTCCCACCCCACAAAAGGCCTCTTGAAGTGAAATGTCCAGAGAAATATTTGTTGTTCCTTGTAATATAAACTGTGGAAGTGTACAGGTCTGTAAATATGTTCATGGGTGCAATGTAAAATCTAGGTTTATTTGAAGGCCTGATGTAAATGTGAAATGTAAAAATTTTTTGAGATTCATTTAGAGTTTTACAATGTGTGGTTAGCTCACTTTTAAAAATTCCATTTTCTTGTAATGTATTTGTTATATATGTTTTTTTAGTCAACTGTATGGTGATCAAGCCAGATTTTTTGAGGCAGAAAAAGTGCCAAGAATCAAGCACAAGAAGAAGGGAACTGTGTCAATGGTGAACAATGGCAGTGATCAGCATGGATCACAGGTCAGCACATGGTGTTGTTACATTTCTAAAAAACTAAAATAAAAGTTACAGGAGTTGACAAAAGCTGTAGAACAATGACATTGTCATGTCAATAGCATCTTCTTGTAGAACAGTCAAAAGGCATGTTACAAAACCCACCATAGCTAACTATTTTGCATAGTTTTCCAGGTGCATATGGGTATTTGGTTACAAATAGAGGAATTAAAATGCTCATATTCAAATCCTGTCTTAAATTAATTTTATTTGCTAGTACTCAGTCCTGTATTTTTCCCTTTATTTATTTGTCTCTGTTAGTACTTTGATGTGATTTTGCTAATGTATAAAATGGTCAGGAAAAAAATTCTGTAGTTAAATGGAAGTGAAAATTAAGGAAACTGAGTTTTGAAATAATGTTGACATATTCTGGTTATGACTCTGTGTTAGTTTTGAAACTGAAATCATAGCACAGTTTCTCCTGTATAGTTGCTTGAAAGTTCATTCATAATGTAAGTTTGCACTTTTACCACAGTGCTGGTACAAAACAGTTTTTGAAAGTGGTCTTGTTCTCTTTGCTGTTCACACACACAGTTTTTGCTGTAGGTAATTCTTTTTACTTATTTTGTAAGGTTTTTTTAATATTTAAAGCTCATAGAACACTATTATTAATTAATTATTTTAGGTGCATTGCCACTTCTATGAATTAAAACACCTTACTTGTAATAGCCATGTATTTTAATAAGAGTGATTTTTAATAATCAAATAATAATTTTTTTAAAAGGTAGGGTTTTATTTGAGCTAGAGCTTGTAATATATACAAGTAATTATGCTGCTTCCCTGCATTGTATGCATAAAATGGCGTGGTTGGGGTATTTAGGAAAAAGAGATTACATTTTTATTTATATTTAAGATCCAGCCTGTTAGTGTATATGTAGGCATGTGGGAATGATGCTGATCCCAAGAACATTATTGCAGCTTCTTCCTTGGGCAAGAAAAATTCCAGAAAGGAGCTACATGGAGTTGCCTTACAAGTATAGTGTAGCTTAGTGTAACCTATACCAAATACTAACCAGTCTTAAATGTGTTGTAGAGAGAATGAGGTGTGGGATGTTACCAGTCAGACTGTAAAGTGTGGGTGCAGCAGTTGTGTCCTGTTATTTGTGCATATCTGCCTCTTCCTCCCTCCTCCATTATGAAGTGCCCTCTACAATTTGTTACTAAATTCTCAGCTGGTATCAATTTTCGTAGTTTCAGATTTGTGATAGGATACTTTCCAGTGCCAGTTTGAGTTCATCTAAGTCAGTGTGTTAGTTCTTCTCTCAATGCTACTGAATCCTGTTTTTCATGAGAAAAGGGTTTGTGGGACAAAAGGAAAAACGTCTGGATATAATAGGCAAAGATAGTAGTTAAAGATAGTACTATGGGAGTTAGGTAAAGATAGTACTAGGGAGTTTTTGCCAAATTTATGAAAAAGTACCTGCTGGATGCTGCTTGGTGAACAGGTGATTTGAGCTGAGCTCACACAGGGTAGCCTTGCTCTTTCAGTCCTCTCCCTTTCATCAGCTATGATGCCAGTCACAACCCTTGCTGCTCTTGCTTGCCAAACCTCCCCAGCAGAGAGCTCTCTGCTCCTCCAATGCCCTTGTGCCCGATTACCAATTCAAACCAGTTCACAGAAGAGTCCTGTGAGCTGCTCCTGCAGAGAGAGATTTTCTCAGGTTGTGACTGTGAGCTGTACATTGGCTCACCATGTTCTCTGAGGTAAGAGAACACGGTAAGCCAACGTACATGGGAAAATGGCAAGAGGTTTTCCTCCCCCCACTGAATTCAGTGACAGTGTGTTAAGGTAGAAAAATTCAGGTTGTATTTTTTTTTATTTACTGTTCCTAGTTTTGTATCTTTTGTAGTTCCTCATTACCACAGGAGAAAACCTGGATTACCTTGATGGTGTACATACAGTATTTGGAGAAGTGACAGAAGGCATGGATGTATTGAAGACAATTAATGAAACCTTTGTAGATAAGGATTTTATCCCATATCAAGATATCAGGTGTGACTGCTTTTAACTTTACTTTTTGAGGAATACATTATTATTAAATGAATTTACTTCTTTTTGAAAACTAGATGAATATCATGTCAGGTGACCTGTATGTGCTATCTTAAATAGTGGTTAAGTAAACAAGTACTAAATAAACAAGTATGTACAGAAATCTTTAGCATGTTGCCCTTCCAAAAGAATCAGTTCTAGAATTTATAAGCACACAGGATATTTGGCTGTTTGTGATACAACTGAAATTTAGTGGGGTTGGCTTGCTGTTAGTTGGGTAAACCAAGTTTTACTTGCCTGTAACCAGTGCTGATCTTGATTTTGTTTTCTGTAAGGATAAATCATACAGTAATTTTAGATGATCCCTTTGATGATCCACCTGGCTTGTGCGTTCCTGACCGCTCACCAGAACCTACAAAGGAACAGCTCGACGTGAGTGTTCACAACAGGGGAAAGTTGGAAGAAATCATTAAATAAGTTTATCTCAATTAGTGTCCAGCACAGATTTGGCCAAAATAAGAAATCAGTCTTCAAAATTTTGTGTCTCAAATCTGTGTCCTAAAAGAGCTATGCAATTTTTCATGTAGAAGGTGTTCTTCTACTGTGCCAGCTTGAGTTCTGATATATCAAATGCTTGTCAGTTATTTGGAGCTGTTGCTGTGTTTAATCAAATACAGCTGCTTAACCTTTCAATAGAAGGATAAAAACGTGACTTGGGTGCTCTCCCCTATGGGTTTGGTGGAGTTGTGTTTGAAAGCTGTATTTCAGTTTTCTATTTACAGTGTAGATAAGCAGAACATTCGGAATATTTAGTGCTGGTATTACTGGTTTTCTGTATACTCTAGTAGAAGTCAAAATATAACTAACATTTATTAATATTGAAATAGTTACTGCTGCTTTCCTTTTAAATGTGAATAGGCTATGTTTCAGTGGAAGTAATCTTTGTCATTCTTAGAGTTATATGTGAAGGCACACATACTGCTGTAGGCTATTTGTTCAAACACAAGGAATTTCCTAAAAACTAACTGCAAGCATGCAGTTACATACTTGTATGTGAGAAATAGTATATGTGAGATTATTCCCTTGTATGGAAACAGTTGTTTCAAGTAATGAGTTAATTAACAAGAGAGAATATTGATAATTTTTAAGCTTTATAGATACTATTACAAGATTGAAATTAGGGTTTCATAATATGTGTGTACAGTGGTTAATCTCTGATGTGCCTTCAGATATGTTAAGAATAAGGTCTTTAGTAGCTCACTGCCAGCAGCATAGAGATGTGAAGACTTGTACTGAGTTTTCTTCCCTTATAGCCTGTCTGAGGATACCCCTTTTAGCATAGAAATATCTATAAGAAAGGCATTCAGAGATGCTGGTGAGGAGAAAAAAAACAAAAACTCAAGTCCTGCATAGGTATAGATGTATAAAACCAAAATTATTATTGTACTATATGCTCTGTTTAATGTCTTGCTAGACACAACATGTATTTGCAGTCTTCCTTACCTTCATTGTGGCAGGAGTTACCTGGAGTAGAAAAGAGTTGACACTTGTGGTGAGATGTTGAGTAGGTGGGTATATATAAAAGGATTTAGAGTACCTCACTGAATATCGTTCACACTAGTCACAGAAGTTCAGAAACAGTTAACAGTGCCTGAAATGTGAGGATAACATCTTCTCTTTTTTTCTTTTCTTCTAATCTAAGTGGGAAGAACAGAATAAAAGCCCAGTTCTGCAGACATACAGTGCTTAAGCATTTTTTGTGTCTTGAGGGATGATGGGAAAGGTCATCCAAGTAATAGTTGGAAAGTGAGAAAGAATTTTTGGCCATGGCTTGGTAATAAATAGGCTTTTCCTTCACTTTTCAGAGTGGCAGAATAGGAGCAGATGAAGAAATTGATGACATGAAAGGACGGTCTGCAGAAGAAATAGAAGAAGTTCAGGCAGAAAAAGAAGCAAAAACTCGTGCTATTCTTCTGGAAATGGTGAACATCTTTCTGTATTATCTTTTAGATCTTATTCCAGTGTGTGTGCATGTTAAGTCTAGGAGGATTCGTACTATTTGTCTTGAAATTACATATCTGGTGATGATGTCATGTTTCAGAATCTGCTGTTAAATATTTGTTGTACAATGAAAGGATTGAGCATGACCGGTCATGTTGTGGTTTTCTGATAAAACCGGTGATACTTCATTGTCAGAGTGGGCTGGTGGAGGCTTTCTAAAAACTTACTAGAAATGCATCCAATTAAAAAATGTAACAGACATAGTATGCTGCTGGTATACCTCCAGTCCTGGAAAACTTTTAGCATGTGTGGGAGAGAGCTGAGTTAATTTGTGACAAACTCCTCCCACTATGTACAATGGTAAACTCCATAGTAACAAAAATTGTGAACAGAAGTCCTTTTTTTTTTCTTAAAGAAAAAAGAAAAGTAAATAAAGAATAAAGAATTGAAGGACGAGTGAATCCATCTCACTTGCTTACAACTACCAAATTCAAATTTATGGTGAATAGTTTGCAGCAGAGACTAATTCCAAGATCAAGCCAGATCTGGCCACAGTGTTGCAGAAGATTTGAAGATTTGTAGGGACAAAAAGGGTGCACTTCTACCTTTTAGAACTGTCTGTTTGTTATGCTAAGACTAGAAAAAGCAAAGTAGAACGTATTTGTGAACTTTCATGAATTCTAGCAGTGGAATTGCAAATAAAAAATACATTTTAGGTACTATAGAAAACACTTTCTTTTGTGACACTGAGTAGGAAAAATACTTTATTAAGTTTGATTTTGTGATAGGAATGTGAGAGCACACAGAAGATGTGTTCCCACTGTTCTATGTTGCCTGTAGAGAGCTTTAGGCAGAAGGTGATGAACGTCTTCTTTCTGTATCCCAGGTGGGAGACTTGCCAGATGCAGATATCAAGCCACCAGAAAATGTCCTTTTTGTTTGTAAACTGAATCCTGTGACTACAGGTGAAGACCTGGAGATAATATTTTCACGATTTGGTCCCATTAAAAGGTAATTATGATAAAAGAGAAAACCTTCTTTCTTGAAATTGAACTTGTTTCCTCCCAGTCTGTTTGGGTTTGGCTGTAAAGGAGTAGTCTGGTGTCTCAGGAGATTTTTGCTCTGTCTGGATAGAGACCACACCAATGGGGATACGAAGGCAGATCTAGCTAGAGGAGTATTCTGTCCCCAGCAGTGGTTTTAAGGAAAGCCTAAGGAAGTGTAGGAATCAAGAAAGCATATGACACTCCTCACTGCCCCCCATCCTGTCACTCCTTTCAGCAGTTTTTAAGTCAGATGCTCAAATGAGCTGGGTAGAGACTCTGGGTTTTCCTTTCCTGTGGGAGTATGTGTGGTTTGGGATAAAACACCAAACATCTGATACACTTCTTGTAAGGTGTTCCTCATTCCTGCTGCCCTTCTCAGTTTTGGTCTTGGCTTTTAGTAGTTTCAGCTGATTCCTCCTAGTACTGGTATCAAAAGATCGGATAGACAATGAAATCTGCTTTCCTGCACTCCCCTGTCCTACACTCTAAAGTTATTTTTTTTTCTTTGCTAAGAGTACTAACCTACATATACATGCTTCTTCATAGTAGAGCTATAATTTTGTTTCATTTTTCTTGTTCTTTTCCTGTTCTTTTGTTTTCATTTCAAGATGAGAGAACCAGAACTGCACACAGTTTTGAAGAAATTACAGATTTATAGTGGAACAGTTTTGTTCTCTCTTTTACTCTCAACTCCTTTTCTAGTGAATTCTAAAGCTGTTTTTAACATTGGGTTTGTTTTTTTGGTTTTTTTTTTGGGATTTTGGGTTTTTTTACAATATACAGTTATGGTTCAACCCATGCTTATCTTGTTGCGTGTTTATCAATTCAAAGATGTTCCTTACGCCCTTGCGCTTACTTTCCCCAAAAGCCTGTGGTGCAGGAGTTCATTAGAATTTGCAGAGGGATTTCAAAAGGCTTAATGGAACAGATCATCATCATCACCACACATGAGCCTATTGAGTCTGTTAGAGCATTTCACTTAAGTTTATTCAGATGGTCCAGAGTAGGTGCTGTATATTCAGCTGGATGCTAACTTTGTTCTGCTTGAAATTTCTAGCAATTTGTGCAGCACTGGCACACAGGCCTGCAGGCTCCCAGATCCTAAACTACACTGTCTCTGTGTGTGGGTGAAATTGGCGTTGTGTGCCACTCTTACAGCTCCAACATGATTTCTCTATGCCCTAAGGATTTCTAATTTTTCGTTCCTCTGTCAGAGCTGTCACTCTTCTGCAGTCTTTCCACTTTTAGATAGGTTCTCTGAATGATCCATGGGGGAGG